GCGCAAGGAGACAGGGGAGAGGGTGGCAGGGAAAACTGTACAAACATACTAGAAGAAAACCTACTACTTTGTAACCGAATAAATATATAAAACACCAAAAAAGAAAAACCAACCAGGCTACCAGGCACAGAAATGGAAAGAATAACAGGTGTGTGCAAGGCTATGGAGAAATGTGAACCCTTGTGATGGCTACTGTTGTTTGTCAACTTGATTACGTCTGGAATTAACAAAAATCTGAGCAGTTGGGTACACCTGTGAGGGATTTTTTTTTTTTTTTTTTATTAAATCATTGGATACGGGAGGACCCACTTTTAATCTGGATCTTTTGAGGTGGGAAGATCCAGCTTTAATCTGGGTCACACCTTCTGTGGGCAGCCTAAAGGACATGGGAGAAGGAAGCTGGCTCTCTTTGCCTGCTTGCCCTAGTTCTTGCTGGCAAGTCCATTCCTTCCCTGGCAATGCGAGCCCATTTCTTCAGAATTCTGTTGTATACTGAAGACCAGCTGAGACATCCAGCCTCGAGGACTGAACAACTACTGGGTTCTTGGACCTTCCATAGGTCGACAGCCATTATCAGACTAGCTGGACTACAGCCTGTAAGCCAGTTTAATAAACCCAGTGTGTGTGTTTGTGTGTGTATAAAAATAACAGAATATTTCTGCACCATTTTGCACTTCAACCAACATTGTTCATATTAGACAGGATATGAAGAACATGTAAACACTCTCTGAGGAGTGAAAATGCTGTGCAAATACAGTAAAATCTCATTTCATTCTTAAAAAGAAGAAATTGCTATCATGTGCAACAACACAGTAAACCTTGGGATTACATTATGCTACATGAAATAAGCCAGTCATAGAAAGAAACACTGCAGGCTTCTACTTATATAAGGAATATAAGGACAGTGAAACTGCTACGAGAGGAATAGCATGGTGGTTGGCAGGCGCTAGGGTGGGGAAAGAGGGAGCTGCTGTTCAGTGGGTATAAAGTGTACCACCTTCCGAATAAGATCTAGGGACCTAGACAACTTTGTGCCTATGGTTAACAGTGCTGTGTGGGCAGTTAACAGTCAGAGCTTAGGTTAAATGCTCTTAACATAGCTGAAAAACAAAACAAAACACAGGATAGGGGCAAAAGAGATGGCTCAATGGTTAAGAACATTTGTTGCTCTTCCGGAGGACTCGAGTTTGGATCCTTAGAACCCACATTTCTTTGGCTCACAACCCTCTCTAATTCCAGCTCCAGGGGCTCCAATGCATCTCTGCCCCTCGTGGGCAACTACCCTCACAGGCATATACCCGCAGGCAGACACACATACCCACACATGTTTTTTTAAAATCACCCAATAAACCAAATAATTCATTGCAGATAATTACATCAGAGGAAATACGGGATGGTGGTGAAATCGTAGACCGGGATGTTCAGGCCCCTGGATGTGATTGTTACAGCCTGGTTCTGCGACTTTAAAAGGTTCCTACTCCCATCATTTGCCCATTTGTGAAACGGTAAAATTGAACAAGCATTAGATGATGGCTAAAGTTGTCTTTAGCTTGAGTTGCCTCTCAGGTTCCCCACGAAACCATACCCACATCATTGGAGCCCATTCCTTCCAACCTTCCTGTCCCTAAACCCCCTTCACTAAGCTTTCCTTAACAAATCTGTTTCTCTTTGAACTTGGTTCTTCCTCTTTTTTTAATCTATGGAAGCAATCCTTTCATCATCGATGCAATCTGTATGCTTACAGCTGTGCTTACTGTTCCTTAAAAATATCACCTCAGATTTAGGCGGTGTAGATAAGAACCCAGTAGTTAACAATAGGGAGTCTGAGGAGAGTCAACAGTTTGTTTCATTTTGGCCCATACTAGTCCAGTCTGACATGATCTTCCAAGACCAGCTGCTCTTTTTTGTTGCTGTTCTTGTTTTGAGACAGCCATGCAGCCAAGCCCAAGCTGGCTCATAAACCCTACCTCTGGAGCACGCCACCACGTGAAGTGAGAATGACTTCTGTTGCTCTTGGGTCGTCATTGTCCCTTTAGCGGTTATTTATTTCAGCCTTACTGCAGTGACAAAGACACAGATTTTTCATTTTCGGTTTCCTTTTCCCTTTATCCACTTTTAGTATTAATATTTTCCTATAAGAGTTACAGATCGTGAATGTCTCCAATAGCTAGTCAGAAAATGAGGATGAATAAAGCAGGTCTATGGCAGCAGGGGCTGAGCAGGGAGGTTCAGATGCCCTAAGTTTTCCAGATAGAGACCTAGACTGTTTTTTGGTGTTTTTTTTTTTTTAATTTCAGAGGAGGAAGGATTTATTTGTGTTCGTGGTTTTGGAGGTTTAAATGTGTAGTCTTTGTCTTCATTGATCCTGGGGCCAAGTGAAGCAGAGCATCACAGTGGTGGGAACAATAGGGAGGAATTTGGTCAACTCACAGTGGACAGAAAGAAGGAGCCAAAAATGTATATTCTAAAGAGTTGAAATCTCTTGATTTACTTAATTATGGTATCTAGTTAAACTACATCTTGAAAATTCAGAAACTACCGTGTGGGCTAAATGGTGGATTTTTATGACTCAATTTGACTTTGACCCTTCTACCAAAGCCCTCTGTGAACCCCAGGTTCCCAGGCTGAACACCTCTTTTCTAACTAACCCCCCTCACCCCCCAACTCACACCTGCACTAATTCTTTTAACCCTCGGGCACTCATGAAATTTTTGTTGTTGTTCTCTGCACCTAGTTTCCTTATTCATTGCATTCAATGTGCGATTTTTGTTTGTTTTAATGCCACAATCGCTCAACTGTTTCTTTCATCGACTTCCTTTCTTTACTGTTTTCTCTAGATTTAAGTAAATACAAAAGGCTTAAGGGTAAAGAGATTGCGGCCCGGAATCTTCCAATAAAAAGGAATCTGTCCATGTTGACATGTGACTGAAAACAATTTTGGCTAAGCAAGAAGGAGGATCCTGCGTAAGATGACCAATCCTCACTTAGAAAGACAAACGGGATGGACAATTGGAAGTAGAAGAAAATAAGAAACAGGACAGGAGCCTACCACAGAGGGCCTCTGAAAGACTCTACCTAGCAGTGTATCAAAGCAGATGCTGAGACTCATAACCAAACTTTGGGCAGAGTGCACAGAATCATATGAAAGAAAGGGGAGTTAGTAAGACCTGGAGAGGACAGGAGTTCTACAAGGAGAGCAACAGAACCAAAATATCTGGGCACAGAGGTCTTTTCTGAGACTGGTACTCCAACCAACATCCATTCATGGATATAACCTAGAACCTCTGCTCAGATGTAGCCCATGGCAAGTCAGTATCCAAGTGGGTTCCCTAGTAAGGGCAGCAGGGACTGTCTCTGACATGAACTCAGTGGCTGGCTCTTTGACCACCCCCTCTGAGGGATGAGCAGCCTTGCCAGGCCACAGAGGAGAACATTGCAGCCAATCCTGATGAGCCCTGACAAGCTGGGGTCAGATGGAAGGGGAAGAGGACCGCCCCTATCAGTAACTTAGAGAGGGGCAGGGAGGAGATGAGATGAGGGAGGGAGGGTGGGATTGGGAGGGAATGAAGGAGGGGGCTACAGCTGAGATACAAATCGAATAAAATGTAATTAATGTAAAAAAAATTTGAAAGAAAATAGTTTTGGCGCTGTCAACGGAGAACTCGAAATTCTGTTTAGGTTTGCACGATTCCTGGTTTCTGCCAGGAATGAAATAATGAAAATCGGTCCATGCCGGAAGGAAGAGCCGTGCTGAGAGGATACACAGAGATACAGCCAGCTCCAAAGTGAATAGCGATCGCCTCTTTTCCCCACCAGAAGCTATAAAAAAGCATATTTTTATCCTTTTCTGAGTGATTACTGCTCTTTTACTAACGAATACTAGCTCTTCTCCGTCGTTTTTATTTTTGCTGGGAGAGTCCAGTTATTTAATCGTCCAAGCCTCATGACCGCATCCAACGCCTTGTTATTCCACATTTTTCCTCAACTCCTTAGATAAGATGATGTCCAATCCAAAACAGATCCCGGCTCTCCCTAGACCCTCCTCAGATTCTTTTGGCGGGAACCTAAACCTTACAAAGGGGTTTCCTCCTCCATCTCCCTCTTCTTTTCTCCCCTGGCGTGCCTTTCTCCCGATTCACAAATAAATCTGGTGTTGTCCGATTGCATGTTTCTTCCTGGTGATCTTTAGCTGACTTAGCTTCACTAGGAGACTGGTTAGTGCCAGGATCTCTAATCAGTCACGTTTCACTACCGCTCTCCGCTACATGTGACCCCCGCCTCCCGCCCGCGCCGTAGAGATTTACAATCCTAGCAGCCCAAACCAGAAACAAATCCTTTCTACAATTGTTCCGTCAGCTCCCTCCCAGCCCTAATATCCTCTTAAAGATGGCTTTAGTCATTTTTATCTAGGTCACACTCCAGTGCTTTCGGTTTAAAGGTTTCAGTTCTGAATTCCTGGGTCAAATAAAACGGCAGGAGATGGGAACGTGTGGGGCTCTGACCTTGTAAAAACAATGACTGAAAAATGCACTCGCTCAATCGCCAAGAGGGCAAGGAGGGATCACCTAACCAACGCTTTTCCAGGAAAGCCAGGTTTTGTCCTGGTTTCTCCGGGTGCCCCCAGGCACAGGGAAGGAGGCGAGGGGCAGAAGGCATCTTTGATCTCAGGGGTCACGCCCGAGGTCCCCTGAGCTTCCCGAGGAGGGGTCCGGGTCCCAGCCCGACGCCGTGCAGCTCTAGGGCCCGGTCCTCGCTCCCTCGCCGCCTCTCCCCGGTGGCCGCAGCCGCGCAGCGTCCGCCTCTGACCGGGACCCGCCCCCGGGGGCCGCAGCGCCCACGCCCAGCGCGGTCCGCTGCCCCGGCGCAGTGCAGCAGAGCACGCTCCGGCCCGGGCCGGGCCCGCGCACGCGCATCGAGACCCGCGCCCTCGGCGGCGGGCGGGGCTGAGGGGGCGTCCCGGGGGCTCGGGGTGGGGAGGCGGCGGCGGCGGCGGAGGAGGAGGCGGCCGCGTCGCCCTCGTCCGGGCTCACGCTCGCCCTCCGCCTCGCCGAGCCCCGCGAGGCTGAAACGCTTTCTCCCAGCATGCAGCGGGAGGAGGGATTTAACACCAAGATGGCGGACGGCCCGGATGAGTACGATACCGAAACGGGCTGCGTGCCCCTTCTCCACCCCGAGGTGAGGGGCCGCGTCGTGCGCCTCCCCGGCCCTGCGGCCCGGGGTCTCCCGCTTCCTCGGCCCCGCCGGGGGCGGCGTCCAAGGCGCCCGTGCGGAAGCCGGGGAGGCTGGGGAAGCGAGGCCAGGCCCGAGCGCGGGCGGCGGATAACGGGGGAGGAGATAGCGGGGCGGGCCCGGCCGGGGCGGTCTCTGGGACGCCGTCCCTGGCGGTGCCTGGAGGACAGAGGTGGGGTTGTGGATGGTCCTGTTGGGTCGCCGCGTTGCTCGCGGGCTTGCAGAGGCGACGGGGCCCTGCTGACCCTTTGGAACCTCAGGCGCGAAGCCCCCGGGCTCGCTCCAAGCCACTCCCGGGAGAGGAGGAAGCGCATCTGCTTCTGATTTTTTTTATTTTCCTCCCTCTCCTTCCGTGCCTTCATAGTGGCGAAGGACACTACCCTTTACATTAGTTCGCTCGTCCGGGGGGCAATAGTAGTTTCTTGGGCAGAGTGATGCCATAGCAACCAACTCTCCGCTCAGGACGACGAATTTCGGTGTTTTGGTATTTGCCCGTAAGCAATTAAGAAAAAGAAAAAAAAAAAAAAGGGACGGGGGTCCAGAACTTTCGAGAATAAACCCAGGTACACGTTAGCTTGCCACAAAGTCGCGCTGTTTAGGAACCGGGGTGTGTGTTGGTAGACAGTGCACCGCGTTTCCCACCGTTTCTTTTGTATCCTCTCACGAGAGTGAACACTTTTCTGCCCCATGTCAGTCCGGTTCTGTAGTTGTTTACCGCCCAGTTTGTAGCCGAGTTTGTGTTTGGTTCGGAGCTGGAAGCGATCCTTGATGCATTCCTGTTTTTAACAGAGCGCGGTGAGACGCGGGGAGGGGCGGGAAGAGTAGCGCGGCTTCCTGCAGAACTGAGGTTGAGTGTTTTTGCACAAATCTGTGGTGTTCACTGCAAGGTGAACAAACGTGATTACTTTGCGTTAGATGGATTTTATTTCTTTCTGGGTTTTGTATCTTGCCTTTTTTGTTTGTTTGTTTTTAATTTGTGAATAACAAGGACAAGTTCTCACGTTAACACTCAGTCATCTCATTCATAACTTGATCGTATATACAGATTAGTTTTTTAGAAACATGTATCAGGGCAAGTCTCATTGGAAAAGGCTAGTTTGGGTTTCTGACAGAACTATGCAGTAAGAATAAACTTTTTAAAAAGTGAAGTGGTAAATCTTAGAATTGGCATTAGAAATATTCCTTTTGGTTTACACTTAGGCCCTAAAAATATGTCCAGAAAAGTTTTCAGATGTTGTGTTGCAATTGGGGTTACGGAATATTTCTATTCATCTGTGGGTATATATATTTCAAGCACTTAAAGGGTTTTCTGTATTTCAAATTGCTGTGACCCTCAGCAGCAGTTTCGAGGTAGAGGGAGGGTGCTGGGGGAGTTCCGAGCTCTCCTTAACAAGATAATGAGGTGGAGGCCAGCTAAATGAGACCCTATCTCCAAAAAACCAGACCAAACAGTAAACAAAACAGAAAACGTTTTGCTCTGTGTGAAAGTGAATGTTGTCTGTTAGCCTAAACGTGGTTTTGCAGGCCGAATTAGTGCACTGCATGTCCAGTACTGGGGAGGCAGAGTCAGTAGTGTCTCTTGAGTTTGAAGTCACACTGGTCTATAAAGCAAGTTCCAGCCAGGCAGCACTACATAGTGAGATTGAGTCTCAATTTTTTTTTTTTTTTTTTTACCTGCTAATAAATCTAGAGATTGCTCAATATAATAAGAGAGCTTGGAGTTTAGGTGTCATTCGACTGTTATTTAATAGATGGTAATTTACTAGATAGACAACTTCCCTTTTGTTCAGAGTTGAAATTGGTAAGATATATACTCCTTTTACTAAGTATGCACAAGGTCTAGTAAGCTTAAATTCTGGAACTTTGGGGACTGATTGAAACCGTCATTATTTTCTGGGTTTAAGTTTCTTGCACCTGCTGTAGACCTGGTACTGTTAAGCTTCTTACAGTGTGTTAAGAGCGGAAGAAGTCTTGCTATTTCTCTAGAGTTTGCGGAATTGGGATGACGGTGGTGGTGATCATACTTAACTAATGGTCCATTAAGGAGGCTAATGGAGATAATGGAGAACACAGGCTTTGAGTTACACGTACTGGAATTACCGTTTCCTATTTTATCTCTGCCTCTTCCTCTTTCCCCATCTTCCTCTTCCAGGCTGGGTGTGTTATAGTCTCCAACTCCCTTGGTTACCCAGAATGACCTTGAAGTTCAGATCCTCATTTGGATCATGGTTATGAGCGACAGCCCCCAGTTTATGTAGTTCTACGCTATGCTTTGTACATGCTAGGAGAGGACTTTGCCACCAGAGGCTCATTCCCAGTCCTTGATTCCAACTTGGAATTCTCGGTAACTAAAGATATGGAGTTAAAACCTCTCTAAGCTTCTGTTTGTTCAGTAGAAAATATTGATGTTTAGCTGCAAAATTCATGAATGGACACATTTTAGGTGCTCTGTTAAGGTCATTTTTCCATTTGCTACCAGAAGTGATGCTTTCTTTTTGAGTGATTGAGAAATTTATGTGTTTGTTGTTAATTGTTGTGTGTGTGGGGTTTGTTTGGTTGGTTTTTGAGACAGGGTTTCTCTTGTAGCCCTGGCTGACCTGGAACTCACTTTGTAGACCAAGCCTGCCCCGAACTCACAGAGATCTGCCTGCCTCTGTGCTTGGATCAAAGGTGTACAACACCTCCGGTGCCACCACCACCTGGCTTATGTGGATTTTTAATTTATTGGATTTACATTTTGTAGAAATGTTGCATTTTACTTTTTTCTATAGATTTAGTGCTGTCACAAAATAGTTTCTAAGTAGTTATTAAGTGGATAAATAATATGTAGGAGAGAGAGGTATCATGGTAGAACACACCTGAAACAGGAGGGTTGTGAGCTCCCAGCTAGAGGGTCACACAGCAAGACTGTGTCCCCTTCAAACTAGATAGATAGAGTCTAGATGGGTAGATAGAATCTACTATTGCTAAATCACCTATTTGCATATAAACTGTCCACTGTTAAAACCCCTTTTAGACAGATATGCAGTTACATGGACAATGAAACATATTTTTGGTAAGAATAAATGAAATGCCTTCATTTTAAAGAAAATGCCATTCATTTAGTGAGTTATGTAAATAAATACTTGTTTATCAGATTTGAAGCAGTTGTTGTACTGAAGAGAGTGTGTGTGTGTGTGTGTGTGTGTGTGTGTGTGTGTGTGTGTGTGGTTAAGGTCAAGAAGAAGTACTATAGGATACTTTTAAAATGAGGGTTTTGCAGTTTACTGTCATCGAGGTCAGACAGCCTTTTCCTCATTGTAAAGTTGGGCTGCTGTGACCTACCTTTTACAGTTGTTGAGTGTACAGTTGATTAGTAGTTTGAAAATCAGCTACCACACATTTGGACTGACATTCTGAAGGCAATGGCATATCACATAGTGAATGCTGAAAGGGAAGTGGATGTTACCGTTGCTCAGTTGAAATGGGCAGTAATTCATTTTATCACAGAGGAAGAATTTAAGGCTATTTGGAAATAGATAAACTGGCCATCAGGGGATTAGGGTGCTGGTCCTGGCTCTGTAACCCTGCGTTAGTAAATGCTTAGCTGCTCTTTGCTTTCCAAGAGGAGCCCCAAGATTTCTTTGAACTCTGATGTTCTGATTGAAGTTGTGATTTTTTTGGGGGTGTGTGTGTGTGTGTCAGGATAATCAACTTGAACATCTGACTGCTATGCACACAACAATATTTTAGATTATATGAGCTAAAATAGTGAAATGGGTAATTTGTTTTCCGGAAAGTAATGATCTAGTTGGGAACATAAATGTGTGAAAAGCTTGATGGAGTCCAAGTTGGTGCTGAATGGAGTAGTAGGCTGCTGGCAGTGTCAGGTTCCCGGCACTCGGAGTAACCAGTTAGGAGGGTGCAGAGGAGGGACGAATACTGCAGTCCAGCAGTCTCTTGTTTCAAGGAACACAGCCTCAGCAGATGAGCTCAGTGCTTCAGTAGAAGGAGGTCACAAAACCCCTTCTGCTGCTGGCACATCACAGGAGCCCCTGTTTCAGAAATCTGACAGCACTGGACTGGAGAGCCTAGATTATCTGGGAGTTCACTTACTGGTTTCTTCCCTTCCCTGCCTTTCAGAAACTGGTACTGCATCCTTCCCCACCCCCACAACATGTGTGTTTTAAATGGTGACACTTTATTTTACATTTTTCTTTATCCATTTTTTCCCCTTGTGATTTGTCTTGGTTGAATGTTGAAGTAAAGCATTACCTGCTGGCTCACAGGCTTTCTTCATAAAATCTCTCTTTTCAGGCTTTAGTAGTGATTCCTTTGTCTTTTTTCCATTTGTACTTTTCATCCTATTAAGTATTTAGAGCTACATTTATTTATGTGTATAAATTAATGTCTGCAGACAGGAAATTTCTTTCAAAGTTTTTTTTTTTCTTCTGTTAGGTTACTGGCAATTCTCATCAGACTCAATGTTTCAAGGTGTTGATAGTATGCCTTAGGATGCATTTTTTTTAAGGATTTTTTTTTTTTTTTTAATTAGGCTTGGTGCACAGCTTTAATCCCAGCCCTCACAGTTAGATGGAGCTCTTGATTTTTGAGGCCAGCCTGGTCTACAGAGTGAGTTATAGGACAGCCAGGGTTATACAGAGAGATTCTGCTTCAAAAACAAACAAAAAAGATTTATTTTTATTGCTTATTGTGTGAATGTGTGTACATGCTTATGGCCAGATGAGGGAGGCAGAACCCCTTGAGCTGGGCAGTTAATAAGCTGTTTCATGTGGGTGCTTGGAAGTGATCATGGGTCCTCTGGAAGACCAGCAAGTACTCTCAACTGAGCTGTTTTTCCAGCCTCTTTTTCTTTTTTAATTGATGCACACATGCTCCAAATCATATAATTGTAATTTAGATTTGAAAGGCATAATAACTCCTGAGTCTCTATTTCTATATAAAAT